TTTTTTTTTTTTAAGAGACAGATTCTCATTTTGTCACCCTCCATAGAGTGTTATGGCGTCATAGCTCACAGCAACCTCTAGCTCTTGGGCTTAGGCGATTCGCTTGCCTCAACCTCTCAAGTAGCTGGGACCACAGATGCCCGCCACAACACCCAGCTATTTTCTTGTTGCAGTTTGACCAGGGCCGGGTTCGAACCTACCACCCTTGGTATATGGGGCTGGTGCCCTACTCACTGAGCCACAGGCACCGCCAACTTCTTGCCTTTTCTTTGTCAATCTGTTGGTTCAAACAGTTACCCAAACCTACATGATCCAGTTCATCCCAGGGCTTTCTCACATGTTTCACTTGCCTGAAACGTTCATTCTTCTTGGGTAGGGTGACCAGACGTCCCTCTTTTGGCTGGACAGTCTCACTTTTTAACAATTTGTCCTGTGTCCCGTGGTGTTTAAAAAAAGTCCAGTTTTTGGAAAGAATACACGAAGGTGGGGCAGGAAGGGAATATTTGGTTTTCGGCTGCCATGTGGCTATTTCGCCAGAATATGAGTTTTATATTATTTTTGTTAATTTTATAATGTTAAACTGTAATAATAACAAATAATTGTTGAGAAGTGATTATCGAGAACTGCTTATCAAAGTTTGCATTGTTGTCAGGCCCCGCCCTGCCCCATCCCCTGTCCCGCCCCTCCCATGTTGTTCTGCTTTACAAATGTTAAAATCTAGTCACCCTATTCTTGGGCTAACTCTTGCTTAGCCTTCAGTGTTTCATTTTGATGCCTCTTCCTCCAGAAATCCTTTCATGTACATAAAGACCCTAGACTATGGTGACAATCCGCCTTACATTGTTATTTTGTCCTTTTTAAGGTAACATGAGCCAAATTATTTATACTACCTTAAAACAGTTTTCAACCTGTGATGAATCTGTTTCAGTCTAGCTGGTTTGCCAAGAGGTTCCCATTAGACCACTGGGACAAACTGAAGCAAAGTAGAAGAGCATTTGCATTAATTAACATAATATTAAAAGCATATGTGTAAATTAAGCACTTATGGTGCACTAGGCTCTGTACTGTGGTGTATACATTTTCTCATCGTAACTCTAAAACAAGCACAATTATTTTCTGCATTTTAGAGATGAAATAAGAGGTTTAGAGAACTTCATTAACTTACTAATATCACACAGGTAGGAAGAGACATAGCTAGGGTTTAAGCACAGATCTGTGTGACTTTATATATTTCTTTCTTTTTTTTTTGGCCAGGGCTGGGTTTGAACCCGCCACCTCCAGCATATGGGGCACCACCCCATTTCTTTCTTTTGATACAGAATCTCACTCTGTTGCCCCAAGTAGAGCACAGTGGTGTCATTGTAGCTGACTGCAACCTCAAATTCCTGGGCTCAAGTGATCCTCCTGCCTCATGCTCCCAAGTAGCTAGGACTATAGGCACACCTCACAAAGACAGGCTTACTTTTCTATTTTTAGCAGAGAAGGGGTGTTGTTCTTGCTCAAGCTGGTCTCCATCTCCTGAGTTCAAGTGATCCTCCCGCCTGGACTTCCCAAACTGATACGATTACAGGTATGTGCCACCAACCCCGGCCCGTGGAGACTTTATGTCATATCTTGTGTTGCTCCTAAATGGTAAGAAAACCTCATGACAAAAGGCTGAGACCAAGGCCATGGTGGAGATACTTGCCCCTATAGACCAACCATTTCCTTAACCTTTTCCTTTAACTAAAGCTCTGGTTAGTAAAGAGCTTTATACAGATTTTCTGCCTGTGGCCCTAGGAGAAAGGAGCAGATTTCACCTCGCCTAAACACCATCATGCCACTTCCTGGCTCCCCAGCCTTCTGGGCCTTCCAGGGCCAACACAGCCAAGCCTACAGCGATCATTCATGGACTCAGGGCTCAGTATGTGGGCCCTTGAGGGCCTGGGCCACGTTCAGCGGAACTAAAGAACACCCTTCTAGCAAGCAGCAGAGCCGGAACGACACAGACTTCCGGCTTTCCAGGAAGTGCTGGGGCCACAGTGTGCAACGGCTGCCCGCCATTTTGGACTCTTCCAGCCGAGTTCCTGGAGGGCCCTCCCGTGACTCTGCGTTCCCAGCTGTGTCTGGAAGTGGCTGCAACCGGCCCCTAAGTGAGGCTCTTCTCGGAGGCTCTGAGTACTCCTTATGTTGATGTAATATTTGTTGAGTTGCTTCAGGGTCTTTCTCTTATCCTCTGGAATCCCAGGTCTGTTCCGAGACATTACCCCCCACCCCAGCACTTCTTCCTTGCATTGTCTTAAGACCTGGTTTCTCCTTTTAAATGGTTATTTATTATCCTTAATTATAACCCGTTGCCTTCTTAAAACGTCCTTGGGGTACACATCCTGAGGTAGGTTTATTTCATACAATTTTCCACAGAAAGGCAGTCTTTCAAGGTGAGAGTGGTTGGTTGCATTGTTGAGTTGAAGAACCAGGAGTTTGCATCCTGAGGGCTTAATAACAGCAGACAAGACTTTCTCCTAAACACCTCCAGAGATAAATTCTGTCAGTATACTCATTTTATGGATGTGGAAACTGAGGCTTAAGTAGAATGTCCACTCAGCCAGTAAGTGATAAGGCCAAAATCCCAGTTTATTCCAAAAGCCTCATCCATTTGACCGGAACCCTACTGCAGAATATAAAACATCCCGGCCAGATCAGCTTCTCTTCTTAAGGCATGGATATCTGATTTTTCCTTTGTCTTTTAAAAATATGACTGAAATGTGATTTGTTTCATTTTAAAAATACAGAATATTATATTTAAAGCAAGTAAAATGTAATTGGATTATGTGTTATGAAAAATAATGATAGAGACAAGAACACAATAATATTGAGACAGAGAAAATTACAAAAAAGAATAAGGGATAAAAACTTGTCCCAATATGCTGTGACTCAGATAATACCAGTGAGGTCCTACAGTTAAAAAAAAAACAAACCAACAGGTAGAGAGCCAGGCACGTCAGGAGAGTTTCTGACCACATACTGAAATGGGACTTAAAGCAAGAGATGTAATTCCTTTTCAAAATCTAAACTCTCACAAGATGGGAACTTCTAGTTCTTCAAGCAAACCAACTCTCCATTCTGGGCAGTCGACGCTTGGTTTTCTGTCTGCTTCACAGACTAGTTCCCCGTCTTCTCCAGGCTTTATCCCCATGCGTCTCTAGGTCTCATCTTTTGCACTGCTCATTCCTGGACTTCCTAAGTCTGTTTTGATGCTTCTGGGCAGGGTTCTCCTGCCTCATGAGTTCTAAATTGCTTTGTTATTAAGATAAATCCATTACTGTATGGAGATCATTTCTTTCTTTTGACACTACTGTATGGGACTGTTTTCATTCAATGGAATTTTCCTTTGGTTGGATAACTTAAAATGTTGCTATTTTGTTTTTCAGTGACTGAATAATGAGGCAACCAAATTCTCACACCCAGTAAGATGCTGGAACGTGATAAGAACTTAATAAACAAATGAGTTCCACCCCCTACTTGCCAGCTGTCCCTCCTCTATATCTCATGCTTTCTATTTAATGAGTGATTAATGTGGAACCAAAAGCCAAATCAAGTTCTCTGTAACTCAACTTAAGCCTAATAAATTGTTTTTAATTTATGAGAATTTAATTATGGGAATTATGAGAGCGTGACTCTCCGAAACAGATAAAGTCCAGTCAATAAAGGAACTGTTTGTTTTTCATTGAGCTAAAGAGTTTGAATTGACTTTTATCTGACTAGGATTTACAACCTCCAGATTACATTCACTTATTCAGCAAATGTGTCCAGTCAACTCTTAAATGTTTAGCACGGGGATGGGGTGCCAACTCCTGCTCCTGCCCCATGGTTGAAAATCCACATAATAGATTTTGATTCCCTAAAGTTTAATCACTAGTAGATTACTATTGACCAGAAGCTTTGTGGATAACAGTTGAGTAATACGTTATTTTATATATTATATGCATTATGTACTGTTTTCTTATAATAATATAAGCTAGAGAAAAGAATGTTATTAAGAAAATTGTAAGGAAGATAAAATATGTTTACCATTCTTTAAGTGGAAGCAGATCATAGTAAAGGAGGAGGAGGGGTTGGTCTTGCCTGGTGGTTGAGGGGTCAGAGGTGAAAGAAAATCTGCATATAAATGGGCCTATGTGGTTGAAACCTATATTGAACAAGTTTG